TATATTCGTAATTCGGAAAGTATGAATCTGTCGCCACCAATCACGGACCATAGGATAGAATCGTAAATTCACCTCGCTGACCATCTACCATTAGCAGTGATCGTGAAATTAGTTGCGGTTTCTGACCTCAGAGCGAGTTTAAAAAATTAATGGATCTTTCATGATTTCTTAGATGGATCCAAGATTTTCAACTGACCCAAATTATGCCCGCGATAATCCAAGAAAAATAAACGTCAATAAATTTTCCGTTTTGTAAACATCCGCTAATACCCTCCTCTGGATTGGGGTGCAATGACCAAGGACTATTATTTGGACTAAAAAATTTTTATAAAAGGACTAATATTCGGAGCAGAGTATAATCAATTTGAATCACGCCCGGTCATGCAAAAACGCCGTACTTGTCGTAGTCGGTAAGTTTATGCGAGTTAGTACTTTTTTTGCGTTTTTTGACTAAAATTTCCCACGATTGTTGTCAACTAAGAAAAGCAGTCTGCCACCCTGTTAAATTAGTCGGAGAGACGAGTCACCACAGGGTAAGCTATGATTCGAAGTTTTACTGGTGGATAAAACACCTAAAATGCTCCGTCACATTGTATATATAAACAAAATTAAGAAATTGCAAAAAGACACTGTTTTTAATTTTAAAACGGGAGGAAAATATAGTTTACGTTGACAAATTCAAAATGAATTTAGAAAAAGATTGTATAAAATTTTTCTTACGCGGATTGTGGTAAGAAATAAAACTTCATAAGTAAAAACCTATTACGTTGAACAAAGCTAGTGAATCTGCTACAGAAATAGAGCGTGAATAAATCTGTTCAATAATAAATAATTCTAAGGAGTAATTTTATACAAAATAAGTTAATAAAAATCGTACTTATTTATTTAGATGTATTTTTTTTAGGAAGGCGGTGTAACATGGTGGTTTCTGTCGACTAATAGGTTACCATGATACTGGCGGTTTAGGTAAGAAACTAAGAAGGATTAAGAGGAAATAAGGGCGCCAGGCACTTCTATGTCTAGGTATCAGTATGTAACGGTGTAGGCTGGTCATGGCCTACATCGTATGTTCCTTCTCTCTCTCCGACCTTGGCAAGGGCTTATGGCGGGCATCTGACGCACGTGTATTTCCGTGCCTGATGCCAGCTTTTGTTTTCAGCATCGGTCTCTCTTCCACAAGCAAGAAAGAGAGAGCAGCGGCAGTACCTGTCGCTCCAGTCAGTCACCGATGGAGAGAGAGAGAGAGAGAGAGAGAGAGAGAGAGAGAGAGAGAGAGAAAGAGAAAGAATGCAACTATGGTACGGCTAGGCGCGCGGCACTGGTCACGCTTGGCGGTGCCGCGTGCCGCCGATTAGGTAAGTGAGTGGTAGGGGAGGCGTGAGAAGCAGTCTCTCATGAACTCGTTAGTCCGCTCTCGCAAGTATTAAGACCCTCGCAAGTATTATCCTCGCCAGCGTCAGTGCAGCAGTCCAGCGCAGCAAGACAGTATTTTGAGCCAGCCTTTGTCCACCGGCCGTGCCATAACTCACGAAGTCGCCAGCCGGCAAGAAGATCCATGTGCCAGCCCAGCGGACTTCGCCGATTCTTCAAGTCATCCTCTCTCATTTTGTCTCACGTGCCGACTATCTCATTTAGTTATTAAGGATTTAGTGTATAATAGGTTAAGGTATGTGATAAAGTGTTTCGACCGTCAACGCACGAAGCAGCGTTTTATAATAAATTTGAATTCGTTTGTGACAAGGAGAGTCGTCATTGTGATCACCTTTCCTCTTCTGCCTTGCCGGGAGCGATATACCGCCTCCCTTGCCTCCTCCTTAAACAATTCGGTGATAACAGTGTGACACTAATGATTAAAATCTAACGCGTTTTGGGGAATGGTAATTCCTACGAGCCATGCAAGGGCCCGTGCCCAAGCGCCGTATCACAAATTATTTTTTAAGAGGAAGGTAAGGGAGGCTCATTCGTTCCTCTGAACGGTGACGATGGGCCTCATCACTAAATTGGCATTTTGGGCTTCGGTTTGAGAGGAAAAGAATAACATGCGCACACAATAATCACTCACGATAACCGTTAACAATATTTATTCTCGACGTTTAACAATAAAGAGCGACGGCGCGAGTTCATGCGTCGTCCTCAACGCCCTTGTCTGCGTTCATGCGGACAATCGCACGGGGGCACGGTACAATGATTTGAGAGGGTTACAAAGGAGGGACTCGTTCTGATCGTGAAATTCACCGTGCTCGCGGAAAATCGCGAGCACTTTGCCGACCCGTCGCGCACTCGCGAATAGAGAGAGAGAGAGAGAGAGAGAGAGAGAGAGAGAGAGAGAGAGAGAGAGAGAGAGAGAGAGAGAGAGAGAGACAACCTGACCTGGTGAAGGCTGCTGGCAGGAGTCGCTGCTGATGCTGCTGGCAGGAACCGTTGCTGAAGTTGCTGGCAGGAAATGCTGCTAATTCTGCTGCAGGAAGGAAATGCTTCAAGAACTGCAGGCAGGCTCGTGGCAGGCTCAGATGTGGATTCTACGATGCTAGAGTCGTTGGAAGTTCTTTTCATGCTGCAATCTGCTCGTTGTTCTCTGCTTTATTTGTCTGTTTAGCTCTCTTTCACGTGCCCTCGCTCAGCCGTCAAATGATCCGTCTTACTCAGAATCTCGGCTTGAACTCTCTCCTTTAATCGTTCGCGCATTGGCTCGAGCAACGCCGGCGGCTTCGCTCTCGCGAGCGGATCGCCGCGGATCACTCGCGCTTGCTTACTCTCTACTCGCGACGCGACATTCTCTCTCTCTTCTTCTTGCCGCAGCCGCTCTCGCTCTCAATTAGCTCCTAATGACGATACCCGGCTCAGGTATTGGGTCCTGAAATAAAGCGGCGCGAGCATCGGTATCGGCTCGTAATTTTCAAACGCTCGCCAGGGCAACAGCGAAGAAGGGAGGCTGTGTGAGAGAGAGAGAGCGAGCCAGACAGGGACGGCTATTCTAGCCAGGGCCCCGTTACAGCGGGAAGGAATTACCGGCCACGGACGGCCGACGCTATTACAAGTATTACTCAAATTACCTAGAATCCGAAGGGGTGCTACTTCGTCTAATTATTCAGATTAAATAATTTAATTCTAGTTAATAAATTTGGCGAACGCGAAGTGCTAAGGCCAAGGCCGGCTTCGAATGATAGAGAGTTGAACGTAATCAAGGTCGCGGTTACTCCGATAGCAAATAGTCGGATTAACTTGTTTTCTTCAACTTTTCTTAGTCTATTGTCTTTCACGGGAATTATGACGCGCTTAATAATGTAAATACAGGAGAGGAAGGTGAAGAGTAAGAAACTATGAGATTCATACGGCTGATAAATTTTGGTATAAAAGTTGAGCCTTTTATCGACCAAGTTAGAACGTGTAATTGTTAGTGTAGAATTTACAAAATAAAAATTATATAAAGTGTAGCGTATTGTATGAGTGTGTTGGATCGGTACTTAAAATTAATAAGAATGATTAAGTTGCAAAGTTATTTATAATACGCTAATGAGAAATTACAAAGAAATTGATAATTTTAAATAAGTAATAAAATTAATACTAGAATCGCGGGAGCGCTAATCAGTACTCCACATTGCTTTTACGTTACCATTGAAATTCAATTGAGAACCGGCACGCAATATCTTCCGTTAAATAGTGAGAGGAATTGCTTAAAAATTAAGGCTGGCTGAATTACAAATCTTGTGGTACTCACTCTACGGAAATGGAGTTGTGATTCCGAGTTTATAATAGAATCTTAGTCACCCAGGGCTTCCAGTAATTAAATATAATTTTCTACAAATATTCCGGCAATTCCACAGGCAATCACTAATTATGAAAATTATTCTGAAAGCTCAATAAATCCTGGAGAGTTGTTTAACAATTTATAAAAATTAATTACAATGGGCACGAGCGAGCTATGATGCTAACACTTTAATTTTAATTTACGAAATTGCAACAATAAATTAATTATAAAAACTCAGAAAATTGATAGCTGGAACTAGACGTCCAGTTTATCGTAAAGCCATCGGCACACTCTCGGCCTTCCCTCTCTTATCATTTTCTCCTAGCCGTAGATCTTAGCAGTATCAATTCGAAGTAGCGAGATATTATTAACTAGCGCTGTCCTTTTCTCATATGATTTGGCTATTAGTCTATCTCTCACTAGGCCACGTCAAAGTAAATGCGATGAGCTCCCCTTGTCTAATTTATGAAGCTATCTCTTGAGTTTCGTGTTATTGTAAGCCTATTGTAGAATGTTCAGATTCAATATTTTTCAAATGACCATATCTCCGTTGAAAAAATTATAAAATTAATTTTGAATAGTGCTTTTCGTATACCAAGAGTTGTTATTTTAGAAACCATAGTTAGAATTACGCAGAAAAAATCCTTCGTCATGTTACAGGTGGTCAAATATAGCAAAAAATCGTGTTTTTAATGCTTTTAGGTTAAGATATCTAGAAAACCAAGGGTGATAGAGCAATTTTGCGCCCAGATTTGGAATCATCGTCTGAAAATCTATTATACTTTGTCTGGTTTCAGGTTCTTAAAATTGTTGGCCCGTAATTATCAGACTGTAACTGACTATAAGAGTTTCCTACAATTCACTCAGTAACTTCAGAAATAAAATATATAACATTTATGCTGTGGTTTAAATAACTATTTTTATTAAAGGAAAACATCAAAACATGTGAAACAAAGATACTTGATAGATATATGTCTATAAAAGTGAAGCATAGTTATAATACTTGTGCTATTACTGACCTATAATAGTTCAATGTGCTAGCGACTAAATGCAATGAAAGTATTAACCATACTTACTACTATATTTTACCATACCCTCATATGCCACACATGATATGCGTATCATTCATCATTTTACTTTATTGTTCTTATAAACACAGTACCACTACGAACTATTTATGGCACAGGCAGCAATTACATAAAAGCGGATTGAAATCACGCAGTACCATAAGAATATGGATAAACATACTTACTTTTTAGTTAGCTCAAGTAATAAAAATGAAAAATTCAGTAAAGGTAACATAAATGGTATTGTTCCTTCAATTTTTGGATGTTTTTTTATATAGAAATCAAATGCTTCCATTGCAGAAATTTTATCATCTAAGCAAAGATACCTAAAACAAATAAAAATATTATTTCTGTATAAATTACTCGATCACAAATTGAAAATCGGTTTTATTTTTAATAAATCTTGATAATAGCATTTTATTAGTCATTTAATTGTAAAATTTCCTACACACACACAGATACACATACACACAATACTATTGTGACTCTTCAATGGACAGATATATACTCTTATACAGGAAATGAAGGAGTGAGTACTAGAGAAATACGTCAAGATGGAATACAACTGTCTGAGAGATTTAAGACTGTGGCTGTTTCAGACTAATTTAATAAAGAGGGCATACCTCCGGGATGTATTATTTTGTAGTAAACCTGGTGCAGACTGATAGGAAGGTTCATCTCCTAGAACGATCGTATTACCATCATTTTCGAGATAGGAATATCAAAACATAAAATGCAGGAGAAAGCTTAAAAGCAACAATTGGAAAGGATATAAGGAAGAGTTGAAAGAAAAATTGGCTTACTGCTGTTGGAAATAAGGTAAATTCATATTCTCAAGCTCACTTGTCATGTTCATTTTCTCAAGTTGTACTGCGGGAACTCCAAAATAGGCGGCGCGCGACTCGTCGGCCCCCATTAACTTATTTAAATACGATAACGAAAGGTGTGAGCGATGAGCGAATAAAATGTACTCACTTGCTTGCCGTTCAAATCGAAATGCAAACAGACGTATAGAATAAGGCTATTATAGCCATTTAATAATAAATACCATTTTTACTAATATCGTGCGTCAAAATAATTTAACCAACTTTATACACCTCATTCCAAGAACTTCAAAGGATGTTACAGCAACAAAATAATAAAACCAAAACTATATAAGAAATCAAGTAACATGCCATGATAGAATAAACACATTGAAATAGCGAGAAGAAAAGCTCGAAAATTTTTCAACAAGACTACAAAATAAAAACCCCCCCAAAAAATGGAGGGTGGACAAAGAAATATTCAAAGACTTCAAGAATGAGATAAATGAGGATGAAAAATAAGTATGGTAGGACTACTGTTCAAGTTTGAGTAGCTCAATAGATACAATTAAAATAGCCCGGCTTCTGACCACGGAAAATAGTTCTCGACTACAGAGTCTTAGAAACAGATCGTACGAAATAGAAGAAGACACACTTGAATTCCTACTAAAAATAAACTTTCCCGACTTTGCAATGGAAGGTGAGATACATTAAGCAACTGAAATCAACGAGGGGAGAGAACTTATAGAGGAACTGACTGGGAAATCGCAGCACAGGTGATGACAGAAATGACCCCGAAGGAACTAAAATGAGCAATAAATACCTTTGAATCTCATAAAACATCGGGCTCTGATAACATCTTTTCTATAATGCTCCAGAGAGAATGTAAAAGCAATCTAGGATTAATTAAGGGTCTATACAGGGTATTCCATTTTAAAGGAACCACCCAAAAATTATCGACGGTTGGCGTGGTACAAAAAAATTGTCCAGACAACAGTTGTTTGGGACAATGGGGTCAACCTTTCTGTGAAATCCGATTTGACCTTGAGATTCATTTTCAAGGTCATTTCAGGGTCAAAGTCATGTTTTGAATAGGAACCCATATTTTTGATCCCGGATTCGGAAAGAGCGGAAAATTCTACGTTTAGATAACGTATTACGTGTGGGGTGCGGTTAACCCCCCCCCCCTCGCCCAAGATCGTGTAGGGGTCAAATTTATGATTTTCTTCATCTATGCACAGGGATGATCGGGCAAGGGTAAGGTTAATTGTAATAACCCAATAACTCCAATACCCAATAACTTGATAACCCCAATAACCCCAATAACCTAATAACCAAGAGATATTTTGAATAAGGACCCCCATTTTTTATCCCGGATTCGAAAAGAGCGGGAAATTCTACGTTTAGATAAAGTATTATGTTGGGGGAGCGGTTCACCCCCCCCCTCCCACCAAGGCAAGGGTGAGGTTAATAAGGTATTGATTACCCAGCCAGTGAAGGCAAGGTATTGATTACCCAGCTAATGAAGGCAAGGTATTGATTACCCAGCCAATGAAGGCAAGGTGGGAATGTAAAGAGAGAGACGTCGACCCCGAATACGCAGAAATCGTCGTCGCATTATGATGCCGAACAACGATGATCCACGAATTCTCGTCGTTTTGGCAATGGTTGATTTGGATCATCATATCTCGTTGCGTGAAATTCAGAGACGTACTGGAATCCCAAGATCAACAGCCAATAGATTTATGCAGCTGTACAGATTTCATCCGTATCACATAACTTTGACTCAAGCTTTGATACCAGATGATCTCCGCCGCAGACTCGAATTCTGCAATTGGGCACAAGCAAGGATTCGTGAAGATCCTGAATTTTTCAGATACGTCATGTTTTCGGACGAAGCTACATTTCATGATAATGGGCAACTCAATCGCCATAATAGTAATTATTGGTCTATCCAGAACCCTCATTGGGTACGTCATGTTGATAATCAGCATAGATGGAGCCTCGTAGTTTGGTGCAGTATAATAAATGGTTATCTGATAGGACCTTATTTTTTCGATGGGAATGTCAACGGCGCAGCATATCTTGATTTCCTGCAGAATGAATTACCAGAATTATTGGAAGATGTGGACTTGGAAACCAGAAGACGATTATGGCTTCAACTGAATGGTGCACCGTGTCATCGCTCATTAATGGTTCGTCACTTCTTGAACCAACGATACCGAAGACGATGGATAGGTATTGGTAGTGACATTACTGAGTGGTGTCCAAGATCACCAGATCTGACAAGTCCAGATTTCTTTTTATGGGGCTATTTGAAAAATGTTGTTTATGCACAGCAACCAACAACTTGGCAAGATATGATTCAACGCATCATATAAGCTTGCAGAGCTATTCCGCGTCACGTTTTGATGTCCACAGTTGAAAATATTGAACGTAGAATTCAACACTGCATAAATTTGAACGGGAGTATTTTTGAACATCTTATAAGATAAATGTTTGTATTACAATCTTGACCATAACTCTATCTGTAGTCAACGTCTTGTCTTGATCGGCTGAGCATTCCCACCTTGCCATCATTATCTGGGTAATCAATACCTTGCCTTCGCTGGCTGGGTAATCAATTCCTTGCCTTCATTGGCTGGGTAATCAATACCTTGCCTTCACTGGCTGGGTAATCAATACCTTATTAACCTCACCCATGCCCCGGTGGGATAGGGGGGGGGGGGGAGTGAACCGCTCCCCCAACATAATACTTTATCTAAACGTAGAATTTTCCGCTCTTTTCGAATCCGGGATAAAAAATGGGGGTCCTTATACAAAATATCTCTTGGTTATTAGGTTGTTGGGGTTATTGGGATTATTTAGTTATTGGGTATTGGAGTTACTGAGTTATTATAATTAACCTTACCCTTGCCCGATCATCCGTGTGCACAGATGAAGAAAATCATAAATTTGACCCCTACATGACCTTAGGCGAGGGGGGGGGGGGGGTTAACCGCACCCCACACGTAATACGTTATCTAAACGTAGAATTTTCCGCTCTTTCCGAATCCGGGATAAAAAATATGGGTTCCTATTCAAAACATGACTTTGACCTTCAAATGACCTTGAAAATGAATCTCAAGGTCAAATCGGATTTCACAGAAAGGTTGACCCCATTGTCCCAAACAACTGTTGTCTGAACAATTTTTTTGTACCACGCCAACCGTCGAAAATTTCGGGGTGGTTCCTTTAAAATGGGACACCCTGTACTTCTACATATCAATTTACATACTTCTCTTTGTTCAATATTATTACGTCGTCTATTCAAAAAATAAGAAAAATAATGTCAATGTATAAATAATTATTTCTGTTTATGAATACTTATACCATTGCCTGTATTCTATCATTAGTAGAATATCCAATATGCAGAGCCCACGGCGAAGGGGTAAGAAAATGGATTATCGAACCTCGATATGATTCAATCGATGAAGGAAAAACTCGAGAACTCAGCCAAAAGGCAAGATTTAAGATTCCAGGTTATTTGTTATGTAACGGTCCTATCCTTACTAATCGGATTGCAGCTTCAGGGGTTTTCCGATTTTTCTCTTCCGATTGAAAAACCTAACTTTTTCTCTAACTTCAAATAACTTAAAAGCAGAAGACTTGTCATAGGTTATCTTGGTACGGTTGGATTATAAATTCATTTTCCTTCGAGCAACATCATGAATTTGGTGTAATTGATGACGAACTCTTGTGACATAATTGGAGGGAGTTTCGGGAAAAACGTCGAGTGGATATCCTTAGAGCAAATCAAATGGGCAACAGAAGATCTTGTCCAAGGTACATCTCCGCAGGAGTCATTCCCGTTGTCTCATTGCGTGAAAAACGAAACGCCAGAAGAAAGAGCGGAAAAAGTTAATCCCGATTCTGTTGATTCTCTGAAACGCACAACGACAAATATTGCAGAATTGTTCTATTAAGACGCTCAACTTGGCCATTAGATTGTGGGTGTAAAGGTGTAGTCCTAGTTTTATGGATACCCAATAAAACTGTTAATTTTCTAAACAAAATTTACTCAAAATTCCTACCCTGATCTGTATGGATTTCTAAAGAAACTCCATGACGGGAAATGACCTAGGAGACCGCGAGCAATTGTCTCGACCCGAATATTTTTTAAAGGAATTACTTCAGACCATGTCGTAAAACAATCAACTATAACCATTAAATACCTATTACCCCATGAAGGAGTTAATTTACCTAAAATGTCAATTTAAAGACTTTCTACTGGAGCTCTAACATTATAAACCTGTAAGGCACTTTTACCTCTTTCTAGTGGTCCCTTTTTATCAATACAAACATCACAACTCTTACAACAATTTTCAACATCTCTTTTACAGGAAACCCAGTTAAAACGACGTCAAACCTAGTCCAGAGTCTTGTTTATACCAAAGTGACCACTAGTAGAAAAATCGTGGGTTTCTTTGAGCACTTCATTGACCCTACTCTTTGAAACAATCAATTGCCACGCACATGTTTTC